CGCCTCCTCTCATACTCACGATCCTGCATGTGCTTCACTTGCTGCGTCAACAACTCAACAGTCTGTAGCAAGGCCTGTGTCGCAGCATCAGGCTGGCTCGTTGCCACGGATTCACCTCTTGGTTCTGCCTGCCTGGAGGTCTCGGCCTTGTCACGACGACGAAGTTCAGCATCTTCATTGTATCGACTCTCATCTTCCTCATGCGTTGGTGCCTCGGATGCCGGTGCCTTTGGTGTTGCTGCAGCGAGGGGTGGATCTGGTGACACTGGCCTCATGGATCCTGGTCCTCTGTGAGACATGGTATGTGTCCCCTTTGGCATGGGAGCTGATGCTTTTGCTGGGCTTGCCTTTACTACTGCAGGGCGAATGAGTGGTGGTTTCTTTGGACACGGCGGTGGTGGCAACACGCGGGCATCAACGGGGGCTTGAGTCCTCCTCTCACTCTCTCGGGCCTCAGCTTCAGAGTCAAACACGACCTGACCAACATGGCTGTATGTCGGCGCTGCCTTCAGGCCGAACTGCTTCAAGACATAGTCCCTCGACCTCAAGGCTGCTTCCAAAGCATCATGCGACTCATGGGTGCACGTGGCACATTTGCCCTTGCATGCGCCGCTCATCTGGCTCCATGAATTTTCCTGGTTGGAATGTGTCAAGGTCAGGTGAGCTCCCGGGCATAGCTTGTTGAATGCCGTCGCAAGCAACCAACCAAAGGATACAGATCTGTGTCTGTTTCGCCTGCAATAGGCTATGACTGCCAGCTGTTGCCCCTTTTCATGGCATCCCTTCAGAAGGTGAAGTCCATATAGCAATGCTTCCATCGTCTTCTCACTGCCAGTCATCCCTCGAATGATCTCAGGATGGGTGCCAACATGGGACCTCAATTGCGGGTCGTGCTGAGGATCTCCAAATCCCATGCAGTCGAATACTAGCAATCGCCTCCCGGGATCAAACTGTGCCAGGATAGGCCCCAATGTAGCCAGACTCTTGCAACGGTCGAAGTTCGCAATTTGGCCATGGAACTCTTTTCCACACGTCAAGATATGCACGCAAGCGGGATCATCCAGCGTGAAGGTGCCTCTGGTTGGGCGCTCTTCGTCAGCCACGAATGCTGTCAGTTGATCTGATGGACGAATGTTGAAGCTCATGCCATAATCCGTGTTCTCAAGTTCTCGAAGTTGCTTTGGGAGTCTCTTGGACTTTTTAGGCTCTTGAGACCTTCTGAGAGGTTCACGCATAGGAGTCCTGAATTCCTAGCTCTGCACAGTTCAAGTTCTGCATTTCCTACATAACACTTGGCATCACCCATAGACTTTGTGAAATGCAATGCAGCTTGAGCATGCTGTGACAAAAGCAAGGGAATCTTCCCATCGACAACATTCGTTTCCATGACTCCCGGAAGTTTCGTCTCGGGGTCCAAAAAGGTCAATGCGAACGGAATCCGACACTTGCCCAAAGTTTTGGTGTCACCGGCGAGTCCTCGAAATGCTTTTGAGTCACTCTGCAAGTCCGCTACATCATACCCAAGACGTGCATACTTGTCTTTGGCGTTTTGGGTCCATGCTTGTCCACAAACAGTTGCATTACATCCTTCGTCCAACACAGCCCAGACTCCAGGGTCTTCCATGATGTCAACAAGACGGAGTGTGTTTTCGATCGTGGCTTCGTTGAGATCCGACAAAAGTCCCATGAAGCAAGTCTGCGGATTGGCCTCTCTGACGCACTCCACGGCATTGGCAAGGATCTCAAACAGGACGCCAATCCTCACGGGCTCTCCTAACTCCAGTTCAGTCTCAACATCCTGTAGTGTTCCTTCGGGTGTCATACAGGAATTGTTGATCTCATTTTCAATCACTGATGCAGTCGTGTCGAATGCATTGGAACGCATGCTTGCTACGCTCTTTGCCATTGCCTCTCTCTTGCGCGCCTCTTCTCGGGGCATCTCGTCGACAAAGGTTCCACACAACTTGCAGTACCAACGAGATGTGGTCTTTGAGCTGCCTCGCCGATCCGTGACTTCATGCTGGCACCGTGTGGGATCGGTGACGGGCTTGCTCTCTTTCTTCTTCTTCTCACTCTTTCCACAGTCAAGACATGTCTTATTCTCGACATAGGCATTTGAACCTTGAAACGTGAATCTGGTGCAACGGCGGCAGGGTACCTCCAGTGGGGGATTTGGTGGTTTTCCCTTTGCACTCTTGTCTCCGGCACGTCGAACTGCCTCCTCGGGCATGTCTGTCAAGGGATGTTCTCTCAGGTTCACGTCTCCATTCGGACTGACTTCGTAGTATGTGGTCACCCATGTCAGGAAATCTGCCAAGCAACGCGAAGGGTGCGAAATGCCTGATCCCCATTGGTAGTATCCTGGGTACTTGAACAACACTTCATGGTATGTCAAACCTTGGTGCTGACCAAACACAAAGACACTCTGTGAACCTTCAGGCAGAAGGTCTTGTTCCATGTCTCTATTCCTACGCATGGACGGCGGGGACCTTTGCGGCGACCGACGGACATTTGGCTCGACCATCGAAAAGCTAGACGGCGGACTGCTAGTCACTCCTGACGACATGGACGCACGATCTGACGGTTCAAACTCCAGCTTCTTCTTTGGGGACATCTTGTATGCCATGTAGCACGTACAACCTTCGGCAGTTTGGCCACTGACATCGACACACATGTATTCATCTTCGACAGAAGACTCATCATCACTCAATGCGAAGTAGGCTGTGGCTTTGCTCGTCGACGACGTTCCTCCGGGGGACTTGTCGTTCTGCTTGGGAAACTTGCAGGCAGGGTCTCCTGCCCAATGTCCTTTTCCTCCACAACGCAAGCACTTGGACACTGACTTCAACTTTGCTAGACGTGCAATCCTGTCTTGCACGCTCAACTGTGTCCTGAACACATACTTGCCTTTTCCTTTGCTCTTTCCACCTTTCTTTCCTGAACCTTTGCCTTTGCCTTTGCTCTTGCCTTTCAACTGGTCAGTCACGACAAAGGCCATCATCTGGTGCTGGGCTGCGCTGCCCAGTTCTTCTGAGACATCGTTTTCTTCATCACCCATTGCCATCAACGCTGTGGCAACTTCAGGGTCCTCGACATAGTCTTCATGTTCTTCGTCTTCTGGTTCTTCATCTTCTGCTGCGACATAAGCTTCATGCTCATTGTCGTCCTCTGCTTCTGGTTCGTAGGACTCTTCATAATCCCATGAGTCGTCTTCAACGATGTACGCGGATCTCTGCCAACCGCGTCCTTTTCCTCCTTTGTAGGAAGACTTGCTTGAGAACTTGCCTCCGCCTTTCTGCCTCTGGGGGCTTGCATTGCCAAAAGCGGACCAGCTGCGCAAGTGAATTTGTCCATGGAATTCAAGCAAGAACTTGGCGTAAACGTCAAAGGATTGGTTGTCGCCTGCAGCTGTCTTGATCATGAGCTGTTCTGTCTTGCTCAAGCCAGAGCCTTCCAGAAGTAGCTCACCACGCATGGGGTCTGAAAGACTTACCCCATCATCCATCTCCAAAAGCTTCCTCCACCAACGACGTCTTCGTGAAATATAGCTAGTCATGCTTTCTGTCGATTGGCGAGACAAGGGACCATGTGGGAGTTGACCCACTCTGAACAACTCTCGTGCTTCTTGCTGCCGAAGTGGAAAAACTTGTGCACGGATACGCGAAATCAACTCATCGATGCCAGTTGGAGTCAACAACTTCTCCAATCCCATGTCTTGAGCTGCAAGGTATGCATCACCTCGCAGGCCTTCCAACACCTTGTGAACAAGTGTTGCATACTCTGCTCCATCATCATCCAGTCCGGCAGTGCTCAGAGCTGGTTCTTCTTCGTCCACCACGCTCTCGGACTTCGGGGTTCCAAAAGCCTCAAATCGTACTTCTTCATCCTCTGATACATCCCCAGCCTCGGTCGCATGAGTCGGCCTCCTCTGAGAACGTTCTGGTGTGGCTGATTGGCTTCCATGACTCGAATAGGTCTTCTCTGACTTCTTCTTCGCATGTTTCTGCTTGTACAAAGCAACGCGGGCCTTGGTGCGAAACTCCCATTCGAAGAAACCATTTGGATTGCCACTGTAGATGTATGATCCGCTCTTCGTCTCCTGTGGTCCTGAGATACTTCCTCCATGGGATGTGTACCGCAGGCCAGCCAGCGACATCGCAACTCAACAAGTTTCGCAAAGCACTGGAATTACAACGGTTCGACGAATTGCGCGCAGGGTCACGCAATTGGGTTCAACGGTTGGATCCAGCGAGTCTCCCCGGGTGAGTCAGATCCTGAGGGTGCCCCTTCAGAACCTGCTCCGCTACCAGTTTGAATCTCGCACGGTTCCTTTTCACAGCAGCGAATCAGCTCAAGGGCCCTATTTAGCCGAGACAGCAGCGGCGGTGCATCAACTGTACGCAATACACCCTGGCTACAATCGGTAAAATTCACACTTGTTTTGTGACAAGTTTCATCACCATCACCCAATCAAAACAGAAATGTCCAGATACTTTGATGATAGCAGCTAAAACTTTGCCCAAGTTATATACATGATGCTGGAGGATCTGGAATTTAGGTCGCAAACAAGGCAAAGGAAATGGTGACCCCGATTTTATCTGAAGAATGCAATTGTGTTCCCGCTTTTGGCTGTTTGTTGAATCTGGTGCAGGGGATGGGTACCTACTGACCTACTGGTCCAGTTCCTTTCCATGGTGTTTCTTCAGAAAGAACCTTGTAAGACAGAACAGACCTGTCAGATCTCATCATCTGAGTCTAAACCTTGTTTGCATGCTGGGAAAAAGGGTCTTGCACATCACGCAAAAATATTGACAGCTTTGTCAATGACACCAAAGTGTTGGAGAGACACCAACAAACAACAAAGTTCAAGCCTGTCATCTTCCCACTGTGTAAGCACTCATGTTCTAACAAAGCAAGCTGCACGGTATACAGATTTATACCATAGATTGGATATTGAACACATCGATCTTGAACGCCGATCGTGTCATTGAGGGTGGAGCCGTTGATTGCGCATCGCAAGCTGCGAGTGGGAAGCACTCAACAGGAGTCTCAGCCACGTTTCGCCAGACCTGGGCTTGGACGAGCCAATTTAAGAAAAGACCAACTGTTGAGGGCCCTCGCATTGATGAAGAGCCATCGCTTCTTCAGTAGTCCCTCCTGGGAGCTGTGAAGGAAGAAAGGAATGAAGAAATTGAGTAGTCAAAAGGTCAACGTCCAACTTCCGTGGCAGAAACTCAGAACATGGCAACTTCTGCTTCGTTCAGCAAGCTTTTGGTTTGTGTATCGTTCTTGCTGGCAGGCCGCGCAAGCCTCCAGATGTGAGCTCCGAACATCTGTTGCTTCGAACATACTACTTGGGTGTTGTGGGAAAGACATGTACTCCCTCCCTAGCTCAAGGCCAGGTTGCCAGTAAAACTAATCAAGCAAGAAGTAAAACAAAGGTCTTTGCATCAAGGCAACTGTCGGATGCGTTGTGCAGCTGAGGTGAGGGTGTAATCCTTGGATGCACCATGATGCACCGAACCATGGTTTGGAGGGAAATCGTCATCAACAAAAAAAGACTATACCGGCACAGACCCCAGATAGCACTTCAAGAAAAGTTGGATGCATGGCAAGAGCGGGAGACAAGCTTGGGAGACATTCCACTCAAAGCCGAGAAAAGGATGGAAAAGGTAATCAAGACCTAAATCATCTTATAACAGCATCCGCGTCAAAGGCAGGCAAGAAAATGACAAGGCGGCAGCGGCAGCCAAGAGCGAAATCAGGAACAGAGACAAGCTTGGGAACCACGGCGGCAGCGGCAGCCAAGAGCGAAATCATGAAGGGAGACAAGCTTGGGAGACCAGGCAGCAGCGGCAGCCAAGAGCAAAGTTATCAGTTATGAAGGGAGGCAAGCTTGAGAAGGAAACAAGACGGCAGCGGCAGCCAAGAGCAAAAT